CCCTCTGTCTGTACAAATGACACACTCAGTCACTCACTCAGTCATCCACCCTATCGCACGGCTGCGGCAGCCCCAGCTCGAGGTCGATCGACACCACTCGCTCAGCAGCAGCATCGTCAGCTGCACCTTGACCCTGCCACTGCTGCTGCTGGTGGTGCTGCTGCTGATCTATCGCCTCCTCCCTCCTTGTCTCTTGTGGTACCACACCAGCACCGACCATCCATGGGTTCACCAACCCTCCCTGTGGCTCTCTCGGCGACGGCAGCGCCTCGCTCCCTCGCCGCACCAGACGCTCAGGACCCCTCTGCACAAATGCCATCCCGCCACCCCCACCACCCCCACCACCTCCAGCAATCCTATCTCTCTCCTCTGCTGGGGGCGAGGGCACCGAGCTATCGGTCGGGATGTCCACCGGCGGCACATTCCCCTTGGCTAAGCCCTCAAAGAGCTGCGCCTGCTCTCTCTCCCCCTCTCTCTCCCTCTCCTCCTGCTGGTGCTGCTGGTGCTGCTGTGGGTGGGGGAAGAATGACACTGACGCATACTCTTGGTGGTCGAGAGACGGTGCGCTCCACGGCATCTCGGCGGGAGGCGGTGTAAAGGCGGGGCCGCCGCTGACATTGCCGCGATAAGACTTGGCAACGATGGTGGCCTCCTTCGGGTCTTCCCTGCTGATGCCGGGCGCGCCTCTCCTGCCCCTCAAAACAAGCCTTGGTCGGCTGCTGTCAGGCGAGAGGCTGTTGGGCAGGTTGAGCAGCGGCATCGTCACGGAGGACACAAGATCTTGCGATGCCGGGGAGAAGGGTGGTGGCGCAGCGGGGCTCTCCTTGGCCGCGGGGTCGGCGACACGTTCGCTCATCGGTGAGGCCCCCCGCCCTTGGCTGCCCGTCTCGCTCGTCCCTTGTAGTGGCTGTGGCTGTGACAACACCCCTGCAGCACCACTAGCACCAGCACCGACAGCAGCAGCAGCTGCTGCTGCTGCTGCTGTGGGTGACTCCTCCGCCCCGCTCTCTGTGTTGATGGTGGGGTCCGATATCGGCCGCAGCATCGGAGTCGTGTTCGAGACCTCCTCTCTGCTGCTGCTCACGGCCGGGAAGAACGACGGCGGCGACCCCGACCCACTCATGGGCGTGAAATACTCCTCCCGAATCGCCGCAGCACCAGCAGCAGTAGGCCTGACGTGCAGCGGTGACGGCGCACGTGGTGGGACCAGAGGCAGCCGTGGCGGCGGGCTCGGTGACGGCCCGGAGCTGCAACAGCTGGCAGAGGAGCCACCATCTGACGCGACAAGAGGCCCAACGGTGGCCAGGCCTGGTTGGCGATCGGCTTGTGACGGGACCGATAGCATGCCGTAGGAGTGCGGCGGCATCGTCATAATGGGCGTCGTTGGTGCAGGCAGGTGCATCCCCACACCGCCCCAGTAAACCGGAGGGTTCATGAGAACGATCGTCGACGGCGGTGGGGGGTGGGCCAATGGCGGCTGATGCTGCTGGGGCTGCTGGGGCTGTGGGTGTGAGTGTGGGTGGGGATGGGTGGTGGTCTCACTGTCCGTCTGCACGCCTACAGTCTGCCCCTCTCTTCGTGGTCGTTGCCGCCGCTCCCGTTCCTCAGACGGCTCTCGTCTGCTCCTCCCCCTCTCAGTCATCATGCGAGCAGAAGTGCCCGGCATCCGGTCACGCAGAGGTGACGGCCCACCCAGCCGCACAGCCGTCACCGCCGGACTCGGCTCACGTGTGTCCGCAGGCCCAGGCCCAGCCCTGCCCCTCTCCTCATCCCCCTCTCTCTCTCCCTGCTGTTCAAGACTCCTCCGAAGGTCCATCTCTAGTGCACGGGAAGCCTCCAAGCTCGCCGAGAGGGTCAGGCTGTCGGCCAGGTCAACGGCCGTCCGGGTGCCGACCCGGCCCTGGCTGGAAAAGTCAGTGGGCGACGCTCTGCTGTCCATTGCAGGGGGTAATGGTGGTGGGGAGAGTTTGTCTGGTCGGGCTGGCGAGCCGTTCGAGCGAGAGAGGAATGAGATGGACGTGGTAGGGGATCCCTGCTGCTCGACGCCGCCATCGACGTTGGGCTGCTCGGTCCGGTAAGACTGAAACCGCTGCCGATGCTCGCCGTTGTCCCCCCCAAAGCCACAGCCGGCACTCCTCTCTGATGACACGTTGGATATGGATGTGGACACGTGACCAGTCTCGCGCGACGGCACCCGCATGTGAGCAGGCGGCTGCGGCAAGAGCCCCCTCAACTCCGATGTGCGCATCCGCTGCTCTGGCGGCATGTCGCGAATGGGCCCCCTCTCGGGCGGGAAGGAATGTCCTCGTGCGGGCGGGATGGTCACACGCAGACGGCCGGGTGGCGGGGGGGAGGTCGGGATGGTGGTGGGGTGGTCGATTGGCGTGACGAGACTCACGTCACCGCTGCTGGATTCCCGGCTGGACTCGTCGGCCAGAGGGGGAAAGAGGTGCTGGCGGGATGGATAGGTGTGTGGGTGCGAGCGGGGCAGCGGTAGCTCGGGCAAGTTGTCCGTCTGGATGGTCAGCTCCCGCCTGATCGCTCCCCGCTGACCATCACCACCAGCACCGCCGTCGCTTGCCTCTCGATCCTCTCCTTCCCGCTCCTGCGCATCCCTCTGCCTCAACGACCGCATTATCTCCTCTATCTCGGCAAGCCGACCGCCCTCACCGTCTCCCTCACCCTCTCCCTCTCCCCCGTCGCCGTCGTCCTCCACCACTCGGGGCGAGTGGGTCGGTGGCGACAGCGGCGTCACCCTCTGCTGCCGTGCGCCACCGTCGGCGGCATCTCTCTCCTGTGGCGGCGATCCGATGGCCCCGTTGCTGTGCAGCGGCGCTGGCCGGGCGGTCTCGGGTGTGGGGCCGGACGATGGTCGGAGCATGGCCGAGGCGGGTGAAGCCGCGTGTGTGGTGACGATGTGGCTCGAGACGGGCACAAGGGGCGCCTTACCCGCAGTGGGGGCTGATGCTTTGCTGCCCTGCCGGTGCGGGACCTGGGTGAAGGGGAGAGAGGTGGGGATGGCCACGGCTGCTGTGTCTGACGGCAGGGCAGATTGTGGTGCAGGGTCGTCAGCAGGGTCGTCGAGGAACCCCAGCCTGTCGATCGATGAACCAATCAGAGCAGAGAGAGCCTGTGAATGGCAACCGACCTGCCTGGCTGCGCCATCTCCCCACCTCTGCTTGATCCGCCAAATGATCTGCTCGGGCGACTCCCGCGCCACTTGTGACAGCTCGCCCTCCCTATCCGCCGCCACAGCAGCACCAGCAGCGGGCGATGTCGGCGCTGCAGACGGCGGCTCGAGCGCGGCCAGGGGAGAGGGCGGCAGTGGAGAGAGAGAAGAGAGTGGCGGTTGCTTCTGCAGGTCTTGTATCAGCCGCTGCATGGCTAGGTGTGGGTCGGGGGGCGACGGGGGCTGCGATGCTCGCTGTGACGATGGTTCTGCGGGCTGCTGTGCCACCTACAGAAAGGTCACATCACACGTGGATGGGATGGAAGGCTCTCTGTGTCATGCAGTGGATGTGTGTACCTTACCTGCCCGGCGAAGTGTCTTCTCCACTTGTCCAGTATGTCCTCCACCGAAGCCGTCGACGCCCTCACCACCACGTCCTCCGACCCCTCCTCACCGGTCGCCCCTGCCGCTGCCGCTCCCTCCTCCTCTTCCGCCTCTGTCGTTTGCGTCTGAATGGCCGCCTCCACCCCGACCGGCTTGTCAAGCGGCTCAATGGACACGTCCATCTTGCCAACCACCTCATATGTGATACCCTCTGGCGCCTGCGGCTGGGGCTGCTGCCGGGGCACAAGGGCCTCTTGCCGCTGCGCTGTTGGTCCTGGTGGCGTTCGTGCGGGGGGCGTCTTCGGCCGTGGGCGGGGCGGGGTCCTTCCCTCTCGCTGCTTCACGTCCCTCTCGCGCCTGGCGGCTCTCTCCTCCCGCTCTCGGATCTCTCGCTCGTGCCGCCGTTCTCTCTCCCTGTCCCTCTCCCTCTCTCTCTCCCGTCCGTCTGTGGCTGTGGCTGTGGCCTGTCCGTGGCCATTGTCCTCCACGGCCATTGTCGTGTTGGTGCCACTGAGCACTGACGGTAGATCCACAGGTGTGGACCGGCTGTGAAGTGCGATGGCTCGGCCGGGCACCTCAAGCAGCACCCCCTCGCCTCGTTTGGGTGTCCGCGCCGAACGGCCCGCCGTAGTGCCTCCCCTCGCCCATGGATTGCTCTGAGCACCCTGTGGCTGCGGCCGTCCGTCTGTCGCTGTGTCTTGTGGCCGCTTCCACGACGACCGCCGGATCACTCGGTTGTACCTGCCCTCCTGCTCCACCTCTGTCACCGCCCGCAGCGGACTCCTCTCCCTCTGCCGTGTCCTGCTGGGCGGAGGGGAGGGCGAGAGGGGCAGATCTTCGTGTTTGGTGTGTTTGGGTGCAGGCGAGGTGGCCTCTTTCTGCTGTGATCTGAGCTGCGGCGGCCGCAGACGTGTGGGCGAAGGGGAGCTGGGGGCGGGGGGAGGGGGAGATGGCGTTTTGTGGTTGGAATCCGGGTCTTCTCGCTGCGTGTGTGGATGGGGATGGGATGTCAGTGTGGTTCTCTCCTTCGGTCTGTCAGGTGCCGCTGTGCGAGGTGCCTCTGCTGGAGCAGATGGCTGCTGCGCCGATGGCGGCGGCTGACGAGCTGTAGATAAGCCTTGCCTGCAGCCAGATGCACACAACACACGGAGAGGAGAGAGCCATGCTTTGCTGTCAGTCGAAAGTGCTGATGAGATGCATCAGCGGAGAGGAGATCATCATCCCACCTCACCTTTCCCGAATGTGCTGCCGCAGCTGCTGTATTCGCTGGTAGAGTGGCCGTGCGTTGGGCGGGACGCTCCCCGACGATGAGGCCGACTGGCCGTCCATCGCCCCCTTTGACCTCCTACTCACCCCACGCGATGGATGGAGGCCGGAAGAATGCAGATTGCGCCCAATCCGACGGCTGAAAACGACGACGAGCAACCGGATAGAAGCGATTACACACAAATGGCGTCCAGACGTCCAGATGCAGCGTGTTTACAGATGGGGGAAGATCACCTGACGTTTGTTGACGCCTTTGGATGACGGGGTAGGCTTGTGACGGTCACCATCTGCGAGAGCCGCTGTCTGGTAGTGATTCGTCGGTGCTTTCGGTGCTTTGCCTCTTCTGTCTGTCCGACGGTTCGGTTCTTGCCGCATATAGCTCTTTCGGCCTCATGGCGGAGGCGATAGGGATGATGGAGGGCGTAAGTGGACTCAGTGGACAGACAGAACAGTGGCAGTGGCAGTAGTGGTCCATGCGATTTAATTTGTGTGCCACCTCCTGTGGGTTGCTGTTGTCAGGCCTTTTTCGTGCCGCGGGGCGAGTTGCTGAGGTGGGTCAACAACACGTTCGGGCTCAGCCTCACCAAAGTGGAGCAGTGCGCGTCAGGTAAGGCCGGGCGGACGGACGTCACGCCACACGCTCCGGGCTCTCTCGCCTGCCTGCCTGGGATCCATCCATCCATGCATCCATCCATCCGTGTGTCTGTCGTGTCTGTCAGGTGCGGTGTACATTCAGATCATGGACGCCATCCTGCCCGGCAAAGTGCCCATGAGCAAGGTGGGGATCCAGGATGGTGGCTCGCCGATGTCTGTGGATGTCTGTGTGTGTGTGTGTGTGTGTGTTGCAATGCATTGGGGTGTGTGTGTGTGTAGGTGAATTGGATGGCCAAGCACGAGTACGAGTTCGTCAAGAACTACAAGGTGCTCCAGGCCATATTCGACAAGAATAACATCACCAAGGTACCCCTGGCAGACACACGCACATCCATCCATCCATCCCGTGTGTATCGTTGCTGCAGCACATAGAGGTGGAGAAGCTGACCAAGGGCAAGTACCAGGACAACCTAGAGATGCTCCAGTGGATGAAGGCCTACTTCGACAGGTAGGTACCCCTCCCCATCCACACCATCCACACCGTCAACGGGCCCTTGTTGTTTGTGTCATGTGTTCAGGACGGCCAAGGGCGACATCGCATACGACCCATATGAAAGACGCAGAGGTCCGACAACCACACCACACCACAATACACACACACACACACGCATCCACATACATCACACACGTCAATCCGTCCGTCCGCTGTCTGTCTGTGTCTTCCTTCAGGCATGCCCGTGCCCGACTGGGTGAAGACCAGCGACAGCGGGTCAGGGGCAGGGGCAGGTGCCGGCCGGAAGGACAGCGGCGTCGTCCCTCCCGCCCGCCGCATCCAGAAGAGCAACACCGTACCCGACACAAAGACACCACACACCACAACGGATAACGACACCAAAGACGAAACAGACACCCGTAACCAGCCCCTCACACCCCTACACACACAGACCGACACACACAGAGAGAGAAAGAGAGAGAGAGAGAGAGAGATCCAGCCTTCTCCCTTTCTCCATCCATCCAGTGGCCAAGTCGTCGGTAGCTTCCAAGGCGGCCCCCAAGGCGGCGATATCGAAGCGGCCACCCAAGGCCAAGCCCTCCGACGAGCACTTGGGGGCGGGAGGTGCCGGCGGGCCGGGTGCGGGTGGTGGGGGTGTAGCCGTTGGCGTTAAGGCCGGCGCCAAGAAGGTGGATAAAGACGCGGGAGCGGGAGGGGGAGGGGGCGGGGCGGCGGCCGCCATCAATGGGGACGACTTGTCTGCGTGTAGGACATACAGACAGACAGAGAGAGGCAGGCCGGCAGCCCTTGTGGCGTTGGTTCGCTCCATCTCTCTCTCTCTCTCTGTTTTGATGGTGCATGCAGTGCGGAAGAAGGTGTGTGGGTATGAGGAGATGGTCCGTGAGTGGGAGGACGAGAGGGCGGCGTTCGTGCAGGAGCGGACGGCCAAGGACGCCATGCTAGAGGGACTCGAGAAGGAACGAGACTTCTACTTCGGTCCACACACACACACACACACACACAACAGAGAGAGAGAGAGAGATACAATCAATAAAGCCACCCCAGATGCCGATCATGATGCCGTCCGTGTACGTGTGTGCGTGCAGGCAAGTTGCGCGACATCGAGATTTTGTGCCAGACCGAGGGCAAGACCGCCCTCGACGTGCAGACCATCCAGGAGATACTGTCAGGACACAAACCAACCATTCCCCCCACCTCACCTCACCCCCCCACACACAGCCCGTCCGCCTCTCTTTCTGTGTGGTTGCCCTCTCTCTCAGGTACAAGACTGACGATGAGGAGGGCGACGAGGGCGGCGAGGTGTTGGCCAATGGCGACAGCGGCAACGGCAGTGGCAACGGCAGTGGCAGTGGCAGTGGCGGTGGCGATGCGAGCAACGCACAGGAGCAGGCGCAGCACGCCGCCATGGTGAACGGAGACACCAAGAGGCCGCCCATGCCGCAGGACTCATTCTGACCGACATAGAGCATAGGCACAGATACCCCACAGCACACCAGGTCATAGAGTGGGTGGCGGAGAGCAAGGGTGAAATACATGTTGTTGTGTGTATGTGTGTGTGCTTGTAGTGTATGCAGGTGTTTGTAGGGGCGGTGGGTGGGCGGGCACCCGTATGGCAGCCCTCACCTCGTAGCTGATGTTGAAAGCTTGGGGGTCGGCGGTTGGTGGAGGGGCGCATGAGGTCGGTAGCTCGTTGCCCGACCCGACCTACTTGTGAGTGACGATTGACTGACTGACTGATTGACTGCATGACTGAGAATCTGTTTGCTCAAACCAACCCGTAGCTGGCCCAAAGACACATCTATCTGCGTCATATATTTCGTGAATACACGTGTGATCCAATTCATGCTGGCCGTCTCATTGAAATGACCCCACACAGCCAGGCCAGGCCAGGCCAGGCCACCCCTCTGCAAAAGTGATGGATGCACTGCACACCAGGCACTCAACAGCCAGCAGTCACCAATAATCATTCTCGGATCGCCGCCGGCCGATTTCGCACACAGCAACCCGAGTCACATCAGTCACGACAAACCTCAGCGTGAATCGAATCCCCGCCACACTTGTGTGTGCCGGTATGCCCACCACCTCCACCCTCTTGGAGTGGCACCCTTCGTTGAGACCGTGCCAAGATGGTGCAGGCGAAGGACATACCATCCCTCACACGTGTGTCAGACAGACGAAAAGACACGCTGGAGGACAGTGAAGCTATCTATC